ATTATTATTATTATTATTATTATTATTATTATTATTATTATTATTATAGCACCACCACATCACAACAAGTTGTCTCAGGGACTTTACAGGAACATTCACATCAAAGCCAGTTAGTAAAGTTCTCTATCTAAGGAATCCAGCAGACAAGATGAATCTTGGCTTCGTTGCAGTCTCCCATCCTGAGCAAGCACAGTGGAGACAGTGGGAAGAAAAACTCCCTTTAACAGGAAGAAACCTCCAGCAGAACCAGCTCAGGACAAGAGACCATCTGCTTTGACCGGCTGGTTGAGAGGACAGGAAGGAGAGACAGACGAACAGACATCAGATGTTTCTAATGTTAGTGATATTACGCAGGTGGAAGAAGGAGGTTCTAGTAACGTTTTTAATGTGGGGGATAAAAGACATGTCCTGATCAAAAATAACACCAAGATTTTTAACATTAGAGCTGGAGGACAGATTAATGCATCTAAGGAGGGAGAAAGACTGAAACATTCATTCCTAAGGTGCTCAGGTCCAAAAACCAAAACCTCAGTCTTGTCTGTTCAACAGGAGAAAATTAAGGGTCATCCAGGTTTTTATGTCTTTAAGACATGCTTGTAGTCTAAGTAGCTGATTGGATTCATTGGGTTTAATGGACAAATATAACTGTGTGTCATCAGCATAACAATGAAGATGTTTCCCATGGAGGGGGGGGCGATATGGCTCAAATATAATATTGTGATATTTCAGAGCATTCTGACGATAACGATAAATTTCGTGATATTCATTCAACCTTTATTTAGACATTTAAATCTCATTGAGCCTCGAGGACTCATTTACAAGAGAGACCTGATATAACGACAAAAAACAAAACAACAGAAATCATAGTTATTTGTCAAAATTAACTTAACATGTTGCTTTGCAGTTTTATATAAAATTAAAAAACAAGGTTGACTGAAATAACTTCATTTAGTAAAATATTCAGTCTCCAAGTATAAAACTAAAAATGATCCTTCTGTTATTTAGATTGAAAAAGTCAGCACAAAATATAGATCAATAAATCCACCACAAAAACTAAAGTGCAGGTGAAGTTTACCAAAATAACTGAATAAAATGAATCTTAAGATCTGTTGATCATAAATGTAACAAAATATATGTTTCTTTAAATGAGCTGTAACTTCCAGAAGTTGTAACAAGGTGATCATGTGACTCTGAAGCTGGTGGAGTTTCATCTGTTCCTGCAGGAACATTCATGTCTCTGATCACATGACTCCGATCACATGACTCTGTCTCTGATCACATGACTCTGATCACATGACTCTGATCACATGACTCTGATCACATGACTCTGTTCTTGGTCCATGGACTGTGGATTTCAAGAGCCAGTTGAGCTGCGTGTTTGTACTGGCAGTTTAGAGCGGGGTGGAGAGACGGCTAAGCAGCACGTTGTTTGTTTTTACCTTTTTAGCTAGCTAGTATTGTGTGCAGCTAATTAGCGTTGCACCCACAGATATCATATAAACACTAGACCTCACATTGGCTGCTGCGGTGCAGGAAATACAGCCACCGTCTTGGAGCGGTCGTCCTTCTTATTTGGCTAAACCAGAAGAGCAGAAGATGTCTCAGCACCCGTCCTGGGATGCCATCAGGCCCTGGTGTCTTGTGAGGGTTTACCTTCTTGAACGCCTGTCTCACTGTAGCAGTGTCTAAACAGAGTGGAGCGTCCTCACTGTCTACAACAACTTCAACAGGATAATGACCTGTTGGAAAAATTCTCCTTCACCAACGTTGTTTACTCACAAAAAGCACAGCTCACGGCAGGTGACCATTTTTAACCAGCTTTACCTTCAGGACCCACTCAGGACCTGTTCGGGACCCGTTCAGGACCCGTTCAGGACCCGTTCAGGACTCGTTCAGGACCCACTCAGGACCCGTTCAGGACAGATTCATTCAGGACCCGTTCAGGACCCACTCAGGACTCGTTCAGGACTCGTTCAGGACCCACTCAGGACCCGTTCAGGACCCACTCAGGACTCACTCAGGACCCGTTCAGGATCCACTCAGGACCCGTTCAGGACCCACTCAGGACACGTTCAGGACCCACTCAGGACCCACTCAGGACACGTTCAGGACAGACTCATTCAGGACCCGTTAAGGACCCACTCAGGACCCGTTCAGGACCCACTCAGGACTCACTCAGGACCCGTTCAGGATCCACTCAGGACCTGTTCGGGACTCGTTCGGGACTCGTTCAGGACTCGTTCAGGACTCGTTCAGGACTCGTTCAGGA